ATTGTTCTCGTCGTGCGACCGGTGGGCGAGCGCCTCCTGCCGCACGAACTCCAGCGGGCAAACCTTGAGCTTGGATCGAGCCCTCACGTGGAAGTTCCCCTGATCAACCGGGAACTCGTCCGTCGCTGTACCCACTGGCTCCTGCTCGCCGGCGAACGCACTGCGGTACCAGGGGCCGATCACTGCAGAGAGCTGCGCGAACTGCTGGATGTGGTCTGGGCCTTCTACGCGAGCGCGTTGGGTACGGCAGGCCTGGATCGTGTTGATCAAGGCGGGCCCCGAGATGTGGCTGACCGTGAGCCAGGTGCCTGGCACGGAGGTCCGCCCGCACTTGAGATCAATCCTGTTGTTCGCGTCCCGGAACCGGAACTCAACACGATCGGCATCATTGCCATAGCCCTCTCTCGAGGCACGATCGGTAACTCGGAGCTCGCAAGTGCTCATGGCATGATCACTCGCCATAACCGCTCCTCTTGGCCCGATCGTGTAGACCCGGGCTCCGACTTCGAACGAAGTCACTGAGACCTTCCATCCCACGAAGACCGAGATGACGATCGAGGGACGGAACCACCCTTCGTTGGCCGTCCTGATCAGGACCTCGTCACAGAACTGCTGCTGGACAGAGAGGTCCGAGTCCGAACGGTATCCTCGGAACACCCAGTGGAAAAGGACCTCGTTCCCATTGAAGACCTTCACATCCACATAGGTGGCCGAGGTGTCGAACATCACCGGCCACGTGAAAGGCTGGAAAGCCGGGTGCGATAGCGCCCGACTCGCATAGGAGTCCCACTGAGCACATGGGCCCCCAGTCTTCGAGGTCATCGAGAACAGCAGAACTGCTTTGATGCCATCGAGGGTGTAGTTCGCGAACAGCGAGCAATGGTAGCCCGAGTTCGGGGGCATGACCAGATCCCGCTCCGTCAGCACATTGATCGAGCTGGCGGCATTCGAGATGATCTCCTCGGCGAGCCAGTTTTGGAACGGGGAGATCACCCGATCGTCGCGATTGTCGATGACGAGGAGGGAGTTCTGGGTCTCGTCCTCTTCTTCCACCACGAGCTGGCGGACGAACTCAGGCCGCTGAACAGCGAAGGGGTTATGTGCCGCAGGGGCGGGGCGATCGTTGCGATGTCCCCGGCGATCGCCGCGACCCCAGCCTCCGGAGCCCCAATCGCCGGATGCGGCAGCTGGAGCCGCAGGATTCTCGGGCGCCTCTGCCTCGCCTGGAGCATAGAATCCCCAGTTTCTCGGATTCTCAGGCTGACCAAGCCGGCGAGGCAACCCGAACTGGGGAGCCATCGGGGCCGCCATCTGCCGACCTTGAGCGAAGCCCGCGGGAGGGAACGACATTGCTGCACTGGAGCGATCTATCCTGTTCCTCCCACGCCGAACTTATTTTTCGGTATGGCCCGATCGGCTTGAGCCAAAATGGCTTGAGCCAAAATGGCTTGAGCCAAAATGGCTACGGAAAAGATAGATCAAGTCTGTTCCAACGATCGCGAAACTGATCTCCTAATTCCTACCCACCAGACCGATAATTAGGAGACATATATATTCATGTATATGCATAAACACATGTATACCATTACATAATATATGTATGATATAAACAACCATGTATATGTGGATAGATGAATATTACGTACATACATATGAACATATTAACGGTGGACATATCAAAAGTCCTCAACACCGAGACAGACCTATGCATTCGTCTACTTGCTACTTACACGTAGTGCGTTTTCTAGTGGTATGTATCTGTAACTACAACTATACCAATTTACAAATGCATATGAATATACATAGACAGATACAGAAACATGCACACATAAATGTACCTATACACAAGCCTACATACATGCACATGTAAATGCCAGTGTATGTCGGCATGTTGCTTGTTCGTGCGTATGTGCATGTATGTATGTACGTATGTAGCCATTTTCTGGAGCACTAACCGATGCGGCGTGGTAGACATGTTCCGAGAGTGTGTAGTTGGGGTCCACACCTGACTTCGCCATGCAGTACAAATCGATGAGGACTCGTATGGATTGTCTGCCACAGCGGAGTGCTGTGTTTTACAATGCAGAATCGCGCGTGCAAACTCGAAACATGTTGTCTGAACTACGTTGGAACTATTGTGTGCATTCAGGGAACCCAGAGGCGCACCAACGAGCAAGTCGTTCAGCAGACGATCCCGGGCTTTAAGATGATTGAGTGGGGTAGTTCTACACACAGTGGCAAATCAGCCGGATTGGTTATTGCAGTGCGCAACAAGCTTTTCTCGTTCAAGCACATGGTGCGAGTGTTTACACCACCCGAAGAGTTCGTTGCCCGTGCGGGGGCCATTCGACTTAAGCGTGGTGATGTGGATTTTCTTCTTGTCAACCGTTAACCTGTATGCTCCTGTCCACATCTTCAGAAGGACAAACTATACATCGTCAAGCCGTTGGCATGGGTTGGGCATGTCTTACCTCTTGCCCTGTCTCGGTGTATGTCCATATTATGCACAGATGCGAATGCTCGTCTTTGGCATGGTCCGCACGTTCCCGAGAATTTTCCCGGTGGCGACAACGACCTTCGGTTGATGATTGGGAACAACACTTGGCGAAACCGGCTTGTGATGGGGGCTGGGAAGCGGAGAGAGTGTCAGTCAGAGGTCTCCGCGAGGATTTGGACAAAACCACTTCACTCTGCTAAAGCCGTTGCAGGGGTTGCATCGGAGGATTCTCGCGCACTTTTCACGGGTAAATCGAGCGAAGTCGCGCAGAGCAGTACCGCCATGGACAGCCCCAGCAGAGGCATGGAGGCAATTCACCCGACCTATCACAGCAGTAAGCTCAGATCGGGGGGGGGGGGGCTATGTTCCATTTGCGAAGGGTGCCCCTAGTTTCAAGTCATGGATGTGGGCTCTCATGTTATCCATTCGGCGTTGGGAACAAACACCAGCAAAATGGCAAAAAGCCTGTCGTTTCCCTTGGGCAAACGAGACGGGAAGCTCGGTTGTGACGGGATTCGATTGGTCAACTGTTCGGATCCATGCGGGAATGCTTTCTTCAGGCATATATGGCAACACCGCGCACCTCAAAGCTACAGACATTATCCGGCGGGCTACTGTTCACAGAAACCTCGTTTGGAACCCATCTGTCAGCAACACATATTATCCGCTCGACTACGCTACAAGCACATATCGCGGGCACGATCGTTTATTATGATGTTCAGAAAGTCTTTCCATCGCGTCTAGGGCAGCGATTTCAGAAGCACTTGACAACATTGCAAGACCTCGGAACAGGAAGTTGTTGCAACAACGCCATTCGGAAGCCCTGGTGCGGGTGTCTGACGGTTGTCGGACCGGGTAGTGGCTCAGCGCAACTACTTTTGGAAGCATATAATCCACAGTTGGAACTCTGTTGGACAAGTAGGCTAATGATCCGGGTGTCTTTCATGAGAGTATAACCCTACATGCGACGTGTGAAGTGCAGTCGAGCGAGATCTGGCGTGTCGTACGCGGATGATGTCAGTAGGAATTCGCTGGGGCATGATCCGGAGGCCTTGCATCAGGCTTTGCAAGTTGCCAATGCCAGTCTGGACGGACAGTTGCGGGAAACTCAGCTGGGTGCGGACAGTGGCAAGCAGGAGCATGTGGTAGCTTTGGGAGGAAAACATAGGAAAAAATTCTCACCAGCACTACCACCCAGTTTTTCAGGACTCATATCTGCTGGGATCTAGGTCTAGGTTCATTAGGCAGGGGAAGACATGAAGAAGTCGCGCTCCGCATGCAAGCAGCAAAGGTTGCTTGGGCTCGGATGGGGTCTTATTGGTTGGTGTACAAGGCACTTCCTTATTGTCAGGTCTCGACGTGTTGGTTTTGGAAAAGCAGAAATATCAGCAACTCGACGCGTTGATTTTTCTCACAGGACGGAAGCTGCTTCAAAGACGTGCTTGCAACAATGAGGACGTACACGGTGATGGCAGCATAAGGCATACCGCATGTTCCTCAAAAGAAGCTTGGAAGATGTTGGGATTGTGCCCATCTCAGCTTGAGCTCCGAGTGCGAAGACTACGATGCTCAACAACTGGCTTCAAATCTTAGCAGTTCGGCCGATTCGGGTTTGATAATGTCGACACTGTCGGTGCGGATGCGAAGATCAGATCTTCTGCAAGCTCACTGGAGGCGATTGATGAAAGGCAATCTTTATTGGATAGTGTACACGGGTGCATGGTTCTTGTGTTCTTACAATATTCCGGGGACTTTGTGGCTGTGGGTGTGTCTGCATTGCGGGGGACGTTTGCGCTCAACTGCATTCCACCACCTGCGTGGGTTGCATCCCCAGTGGAAGCAGTATTCGATGATGACGTTGACGATGTCGCGCATACTTTCAATTGCGTACCTGCATGGAAGGCCATGCCAACAAGGTTTTCCGACTACACAAGCTGTGGCGGTACCCAACAGTTCGGCAAAGGGTGGAACACACGACAACCTGTCTGTTCGATATCTCCAAGGTTTCGATTACAAACAATGTACATGGTGCAAGAATGTTTTGTCGTCGGTGCTTTCGGGTAGAAACATGTAGAAACCATATTCGGAGAACGCTGGGAAGGGGTTATTGTAGTGACTCGGCAGGCATGTCGTGCTTGACGTCCAACAACAAGAGAGCTTGCAATATCGCGTAAGCGAAGTGTGCTGTGATTCTGTGGAAGACTTGTTGGATCATGTTTCCTCTCATGTAGTACTCCGACTCCAAATGCAGCAGCATAGGGCCATTGTCAGTGAGGGCGAAATGACGTCGGCCCCCACGGGCGCAAACACACACTTCTCCAAGCTCGGACGGTGGTGTGAGCAAAAAGGTGGCTAGCTCCTCATGAAAGGCATACAGCTCTTGACAAAACTCAACAGAATGCTATGGATGTCAGGGAGTTACAGGCGACGAGGAGTTCGCGTGACTTTGAGACTACCCCTCGTCCTGTGCGAAGTCACTCCCGAGTCTTCTGAGCACCCTGGCCAGCTCCTGCTTGATGGTCGCTTGTGCATCCGCGCTGCTTTCGTTGGACGCCTGACACATGGCACGTGCGTGGCACGGAAGCGAAGGTACAGGAGACATTGCCTGTTGCTGCTGCTTCAGGGCTTCGCACTCTGCTATGGCCTCGCGCTCCAGAGTTTGCAAAGGGCACCCGCTACTCGTCGCGGGCCGTAGAACTCTCAGAAACGAACGCTTTGGAGTTTCTGCTGCTCCTCTTGAAGCTTGGCCTGCCATTAGCAATGCACTGCACAGTGCAATCTTCGCAACACGAGCCCATCCTCTGCTTGCGAGTGCTTGAGCTCCGCGTCCTGCGCGCTCCTCGCGAGCGGAGAGATGGAACAAGAGTTGAACAAGGTGCTGCCGTCAGATCGCATGTCAACGAACACAATCTTAGACTCCTCTGAGCTTGGTCAAACTTGTCCTTGAGGATATCAAAATCCTTCTGCACCTACGCGAGAAAGCGAACTTGCAAAGCCCCGTGATGAATGTCTGCCACGCTTTGTCATCTCACTGAGAGAAGCACGCCCTCCAGCTTCTGCTGCTCTTGCTCAAGTTTGGCCTGGGGATTGCGAGGTTACAGGCAGGATTCTCGGACCTTATGACGGTCGTGACTGCCACTTTGGACCGCAGCCTGTCGTCATTCATTTTTACAGAACGGCCTACACGGAGGGAACCTCGTGTAGTGCATTCGCAGTGCTTAGGGATCTAAGCAGGCCTCATGGTTTAAGCCGCAGGGTTTTCGTCTGGGTTCCGGATGTTGCGGCAGTGGAGGGTTTTGGTGAGGCTCCGGCAACTCAGAGATTTAACGACACCTGCGGCTACTGCCAACATAATCATCACAATCCACGTCTAGAAACCCACCATATCACTCCTTAGTTCCTTCATAACCTCAGTCCTGTGGCTCTGATGCCGATCCTTTCTCACTTCAACACAGTTTTGCCGGCAGAAGACCGGCTTGGCATACAGACAAGCACATCATGACGACGTCGGAGACAGGATCTCCTGCGATACAGCAGTATACACTATACAGAATCTCGCTCTCTCTTTTGCTCCCGATGAGAACCACGTGCACCACGTATGGATTCCAAAAGGGCGGGCGGGCGGGCAGCTTGAGAGGAAGTCGCGGCCGTTTCAAGCTCGATTCTATAAATCAGAATCTCGCTCTCTCTTTTGCTCCCGATGAGAACCACGTGCACCACGTACCGGCGAGGCATTTACATCTCGCAAGAAATGCAAGCCGCTACCGAAAATCAAGATAGCAGCTGCAGGTGCCACTTCCCATAATTCCCATCCCGACCTAGTCGCCAGTGCACGCACGTGGCAACACTTTGGTGTTTCCAAAGGAGAAACCAGGTACCAGTGGGGACGCTCGCCTGAGTCCACTGGCAGGCCTGCTTCAGCAAGTCCGGGAAGCACGAGGCTGCCTCAAGTACTTTGCGTTTTGCTGCTGGGGCCAAACCTGGGTAAAAAGTAGAAGCCGCTATTTCTTGAAGGTACACCTCCATGACTTTGTGACTCACCCAACGGCCCCGGCGACGGACGAGCTCGGCGTCCTCTGTCGCTTGAAGCAAGTAGGTGGCGCCACCGGGTCTGAAAGAACCAAGATCTAGAGGACGCTCCTCATTCCTGGCCGTGGGAATGAGGAGCGCCTCTAGAATTGTATCCAGACGCCTCCTGAGCGTCTGAGCCGAATAGGGCCAGAGCCTGCTACTCGGCTGCAGACGCGAGAAAGCGATGTCGGCCAAAGTGACCAGGTCCGAAGCCTCCAGTTTCGCAGCCTGGTGCCTTGCAGCACGAAATCGCGTCTTCGGTTCAGCGATGCTAAGCAAGACGAAGTCCTGAGACCAGAGCACGTCCCTTGGCAGCACAAGTGTGGCCCTGGTAGCATTTATCGCTTCCCCTATTCTCAACAAAGCGCCCCAAGCCAAGCCAAAAACTCCAGCTTCAGTTCTCCATCCCCAAAGGAGAGATACAGAGAGTACCGCGAGGAGGATGATGGCAGGCATAGCAACATGGTGGGTATGAGGCTCCAAAGCCATCCATGCAAAGGCAACGTCCCAGGCCCCTTGAAGCTGCCTCCTGATGGCGGGCCGCTTTGCTGCCAAAGCATTTATCGTCTCCGAGAGATGCCAGTAGGGGTAGCCAGCCTCGAAAAGTTCCCGACCAAACTTCGCGAGCGCCTTGGAGAGCTCCTCGGCGGGCCACTCGTATACAGCATTCTCCTCGAAACCTGCCTCACCCAGCCAGCTGACGAAGGCGACTAGTAAGGCGGACCTGTTCTTCGAAGTCTGCTGAAGGACCGGCCGGCCTTCAGGCAAGGTTTGGTCCAGTCTTGCTCTTTGCCGGGTGGCGTCCTGCTTGTGCCTCGGGGCGAGCGGCCCTTCACCTGGGTAACCTAGCATCTGATCGAAGTCCAAGGCTGAGGCGTGGCGGCTGGAGGCAGCCGGCACATGAGGCAAACTAGGGGGGAACTGGGCTCTAAGGGGTTCCCTTAGGGTAACCAGAAGGCCTAGGAGCTCGGACTTAGAAACCCGAAAGGAGAGGACTCGGGAAAGCCTAACCCAGCCAGCCGAGGCTTTGGAAAGGGCGCACAGCCCCAACGCAATATGAAGCTCATCCGGCTCGAGCTCTTCAGTGATGCATAGGCCCTGCGGCGGGCGCAAATCAACGCTTCGGCTCGGATCGTCAGCAACATTTAGCCTGGTGGGGGCGTGGGCCAAGCCCAAGTAGACCCCACCCCCTACCAGCGTAGCGCACATGCGGAGGAGCACCGGGCGCAGCAGACGGGAGGACGACCGCCCCTTAGAGATCGCACCCCTAGCGACGGAGGAATCAAGCAGAAGGGTGGTCTTCCGGTCACCTCCTCTTTTCGTGATGTGCCTGACAGTGCGCACCGCTGCCTGCGTCTCTAATACGTTGATGTGAGCGGCCTGCCTCCAACGCCAAGAGGCCTCAACGACCCAGGAGGCCGATGACAGAATGTCATTTATGATGAAGCTCTCGAGCCCAGGCCTTTTGGCATCAGGCGGGTCCCCACTGGCCGGGGCCCTCGGCAGAGCAAATGCCAGCAGACTCGCGAGCCACGAGGCAAAGGCCGAAGGGCCAGCGGGACAGGTCACCGAATTCCTATCCTGGCTGAAAACTTCAATAGCCCCTCGCACATCAATGCCGGCGGTGAGGAGCTGGAACCCTGAACCCTGACCAGAACCAGAGCAAGCGGTGGGCACCCGCACTCGTTGGAAAGCCCCCTTTCTCAGGAGTGAAGTCCAAGCAGAGAGCCGTGGAAAGAGGGAGGAGCTAGGAAGTACCAAAATCGTAGGCACCCCTAGACGGCCCGCAACCGTGAGTACGGCCAAAATGGTGGCTGCGGCCTTGTTTTCACGCTCGATCCGAGGATCAACCGCATCTTTCCCGGAAGGGTGTCGCCAGGTGCGGGGGCAGGGCCGGTAAGCTGGGCTGTAGGCTTCAGCACAAGGGCCCGCAGACGGCCGCACCCAACTATATGAAGCAGCCAATCCCGAAACCTGGGTGAACAAAGGTCGTAGTGGCGGGACCGAAAGCGAGAGGCAACGGGCCCTGGATCAAACCCTAACCTCTGGGCCTCTTTGGTGATGGCACCTGATCCTCCGACCTCAAGGAAGTCAAAGTCATAGGCAAAAGGCTTCGCAACACATGGCCCGGCTTCTGCACAGTCACCTTCGACCTCTTCTCCCGCAGGCTCAGGGAAATGGCTCGGCGTCCCGTCAAGTCTCACAGCCTCCCCTTTCTGGTCGGTGGCAAGCCAAATCTCAAGAGAGCTTGCGGCAGGAAGCTCGCAGGAGCAGAAGGCACCACGGAGGTTCGAGGCATCAGAGGCATAGACGCGATCGTCTGGCTCGGCCGAGAGGTTGCTGACCACAAGCGGAGCGATCACGGCTAGAACCTGAAGCTCACCAGCGGTGCGTCTGGGCAGCTCACGGAGATTTGAGCCATCGGTTCCCTCGCAAGCAGAGGCACGCCCTAAGGCAAAGATTTTGTCGAGAACCGACATGAAGCACCGTCTGTAAAGAAGGCAGGAGACCCAGCAACCGGTGAGGCACGAGACGAGTTCCTCGGAGAGCACCGGGCACTGCGCCGCACGGACAGAGGCAGCAGCTAAAGCAAGGCGCTTTTGCACAGGGTAGCCGCAGAGTGTCCCGACTTCGGCAACGGTAGCAGGGGTCGAGTCCAGTTGCGCCCCGGCGACCGAGAGGAGACGCTGGCTCCTTACCTCCTTGTTGTCCGATCCCAAAACCTGCTCAGCAGAGTAGCCGACCTTAGCCTGATCGATCAAGACAGAGGAAGCGGAGGGCCCACCCGGCACAAGAGACCCGTCCTCGACGGCAAGGGCGAAGAAATCGTCTATTATCAGACCCTGCCAGGGTCCCTCACGGGCTACTCGGCTTCTGCTCTCGAGTCGACCAGTGCCTAGCAAGCACCCATAGGCCTGCAACAACCCTTCGTGGGCCGAAGTGGCGTACTCTACGCCCCCTGCATCACCTTGGAACAAAGCCTTGAAGGTGGGATGCACGCGTTGGCGGCAGTCAACGAGCAGAGGAGGGCGTGGGAAATCCAAAGCCCCTGCATACAGGTTGGGATCAACGACATCATGTTGGCCTCGGGCAAGAAGCTCCTTCGCAGCGGCGGTTTCAAGCAAGGCAGCAAGAGGCAATGAAGGCCCGCACGCATTCGTAAGAGATCTCTCCCGGGACACCTTCGCTTGGGTATAGAAGTCCCGTCGGTCTGTCACAGAACCGCAGAGGCAGGAACCCAAAGGCACATGCAGCCGGCACAGAAGGTGGCCCGTGGGCATTCTCGAAGAAGGCCCTCTGAGTCGGCGCTCCAGCGCGTTAATCCCGCGCCTGTCTCCTATCTGCCTCTGTTGAGATGGGCCCTTGTATGCCCCAAAAACCCGAGTGAGAAGACGAGGCGGGAGTGGCGCCGGCGTGAGTCCCAACAAGCCTGCTGCGTCCCATATCTTGCACAGCTTCAGCAGTTCACCCCCTCCCTCATTGGCAAAGGAAGGCGCAGGAGCGGGAGGGCCGCACCATCGTATCGCCTCAGGCTCAACGTAAGGAAGAAAGAGGTCAGCCCCGAGGTGTTCCTCGAGAGGCCAAAGCCCACGGCCGTGCAAAACAACTTGGTCGGCTCGGGTGCTCCTGTAGGGCTGCAGGGCCTCACTTTCGGAAGGAGCATGAGGAAGGAAACTCGTCCCCTCAGGCGGGACGGAAGGAGAAGCGTAGGGGCCGGCCTCCAGGCCATTCTCCTTAACAAAAGCCAACACCTCAGAAAGACGGGCGGCCAAGTGCAGGCCGCGACGCCCAGCACAGGCAGGAACAAAGTCAGCCTGGCGGGCACACGCTCGAACAAGCCCTCTCAACCTCTCATAGACCTGGTCCTGAAGAGAGGAGAGGGGCCTCTGCAAAGAACGCAAGGGAACAGGACGGCAGCCCGCGTGGATGTAGTTCAAAGTCATCGCAACCAAGTGGGTACACCGGGCAACAGCCAGGCGGCGAGAAGCCGCAGCGTCTCTGCAGGACCGCTGGTAGAAGGCCCCCTCAAACTTGAGAGGCAGCGGGAAGAGAGCGGCAGAGGAAGTGAGAGAACCTTCCCTTCGCAAAGGCAAAGTGGCAAGGAGGTACCTGGCAAACTGAGTTTTTCCCTGCCCAATCAAACGAGGCAAGGTCGCTACCCAGGAGCCAAAGCTAAAACCAGCATCCTCCGAGGCATCCTGACCTGAAAGAGGGAAATCATCGCCTGACCTCACAGCATAGGCGGAAACATCCTCACCATCAGGAGCCTTTTCAAAAGGTGGAACAAGTGGTGCAGCCGCAGCCTGACAAGAACCACCAGCCGGGGAAGACCGACACCCACCACTTTCAAGGCAATGGGCGACGTGGCCGGGGGCTTGCTTAGCAGAAGCTGGCTCGTGGTGCAAGGTGCGTGGGCCCGCAGGCCTTTTCACTTTTTCCGCGGCTTTTCTGGCGGCCCACTGGGCTGCCCTTTGCTGCTTTCGACTGAGCTGGGTCTCTGCAGTGTCCAGCACGGGAGCCGGAACGCTGGGAGGTTTCGGAGCCGGCCTCTCCGGAGTCGCTTTGGTAGTTCCTTCCGAAATTCTCCCGGCGATGGTCTCCAGCTCCTTTGTGAAAGCTAGCGCCGTTGTCACCCAGCGCTGCTCCGCTAGCGGGGTAAAAGTCTGCAGGCTGCTTCCAGGAAGCGAAGCTTGCTGAGAGAAGAGCCCGGCGGGCGGCTCGGCCTGAAGCGTAAGAAGCCACCCCAAAGTGCTGTTGCCTTTGTCGAGCGCGACCTGGTGCAGCATCACAAGTAGCAGGCTTAAGGTGTCCTGGGCCCCCGAAACCGAGCCAATGCTCAACAAGTCCAGCGACTGGGACACCTGCCAGGCAATCAAGCCCAGGAGGTGGTGGGAAGAGAATCCACCATGCCTCTCCAGGAAGCGCATGTAGCTGATCTGATCCTCCGCCAGCAATCCTGTGGGGTCCATCCGGCGAGCCATGTTTGCTTTCACCTTCGAGGCAAAACCGCCCGTTCTGGCGGCGAGCTCCTCCTGCAAACGGGCCCGACCCAGAGAGCCTCTCACAGAAGAAGCCTGGCCGGCGGGCGCCTCGAGAAGGGGATCCCCAGAACTCGACGACATCTGGCTGACCAACGCTACTAAGGCCTGGCTCTGGGCATACACGGCTGAGGCAAGCGAGCCCGACCCAGGCGCGCCGGGGATTTCGCCGACTCCCATTGCTTCGTTTGCCAGCTCCTCTTTGTCCAGCTGCTGCTCGGCAGCCAGGGGCTGAGCACGCACGGGGGGAGGAGGGCCCAAAGTCGAGGCCAGTTGCTTGGGAGTCGTCTGGAAAGGAGGCAGCACACTCGAAACGGGCTGACGCAGGACAGCACGGGCTGCCGGAAGCTCTGTTGCAGGGGCAGCGGCTGCTGCCGGGGCAATCTGTGCAGGGGCCGCCTCGGCTGGGGACATTGCATCCAGCCGGGAGACAACTGAGGCCATAAGCTCCATCATCTTTGCCTGCTGGGCGGCAAGCTGAGCCACAGTCGGCTTCTTTGCCTTTGCCTGCCTCTCCCTCTGAGCCGCCGCCGCGGGAGCATCTTGACCTGACAAGGCGGTATGGTATCCAGCCCGGTCGTCCGGGAAAACACCTGTCGACGACAGCCACTCCTTTGCCTTTCGCAGGACCTCCGAGGCACGAGGAAACATCATCACCTGCCCCGGGAGGAAAGGAACCAGATCGGTCTGGCTCAGGTCGGCTATGCTCACTTGATCGGCCAGGTGCGCCGACAGGTCCACCACGACGGCCGGGATGGTTTCTGGGTCCGTCACGGCCTCCCAGTCGCCGCTCTCGGTGAGCATCACGGGGGCGACCCGGATCGACAGAGAAGGGCCGATCCCCTCCTCCTCCGCAAGCAGCAGCCCTGCATCCAAATCTCCCTGGGACAGAAAACCCTCCGGAATGCAAAGCAAGAATCCAGAGGGCCGCTTCATAATACAGTAGGCGACGCATGTTGCAGAGGCCCTATCCTCAGAAGGCGGGGGCCAGGCAAACTCGACGATCTCAACGGAGCCTGTCTCGTAGGCGACGATCTGGTCCATCAGCGGATGAGGGTAGAAGGGTAGGGGAGGCGAGCCCCGGAGAAGTACACTCTTGCCTCAGAGGAAGAAGGGAACCCGTGGGTCACCGAAGAGCCCAAAGAAGGCCCGACCACCCTTCGGAAGGCAGTCAGAGAGGAGCACACCACCGGAGCAGAGAGTCCCTCTGCCCTCAAGATGCAGTAGAACCTCGATGGGAGGCTCAAAGCAGGGCTGGGGTCCGGGCGATCAACCTGGCCCGCAAGAACGGCCTGGGCCCAGCACCCAGCAACCCAAGCTCTCTCCGCACGTTCCACAGGGCCCAAATCCGAGGCCGAAAGTCCACGACACAATGCAAGGCAGGAGTCGGGGATGGCAGGAAAAGAAAGAGCGATGCGCTGACGAAGCGCGAACCGCTGAGCCCCGGGGCTCTGCAAGGGATACTCAGGCACGACCGAGGTCGAGGAAGGGGATGCAGCGGAAGCCGAAGAGCGGCCTGGGAGGCGAGGAGGAGTGCCTTGCAGACTGATGGGCTGGGCAGGCTGGCTGTGCTGGGCCGCCGAGCTGCAAAGGTGCTCAGGCGGAACACGGGTTGAGGACTTAGGGTAACCTGAAGGCCCTGGGGAGACTACCGAAAAACCCGAAAGGGAGGACCTAGGGGAATCAGTTCGGCCGGCAGGCTCGTGGGAAGAAGGGCTTAGCCTAAGACCCCGAAGCCTAAGGGAGAGCCCCTCGATTTCCAGCGAAAGATCCCAAGCCGGAGGATCGCCCTCACTCATACACGTATGTGCTCAGCCGGGCCCGCCTTCGGGCAAGAAGTACCTCAGCAGGCACCCCAGGTTCGCGCGGTCGCGCAGGTGCGCGATCCTCTCGCGAGAGAAGAAGAGTATAGGCCAGCCAGGCCCCCAGAGCAGCTCCAGCTATGAGCCCCAGCAAGAGGCAGGAAAGGTGGCTGCCCAGGCTGGAACCCGAACAGTAAAATGGACAAGCCAGTCCCCAGAGCTGTGTGCTAGCACCTTGGTGAAGCAAGCGAGCAGCCGAAAGCGCGAGGTCCATGCGGGAGGGGACGGCACCTTTTCAGCTTGAGAGGAAGTCGCGGCCGTTTCAAGCTCGATTCTATAAATCACGCTATCATGCGACCTGCCGCCCAGGTCTTTCACTGTATTCTTTCGCGTTAAAAAGTCGTCGTTGTTTCCCAGTCTTCTGCCCAGAAAGGTCTTAGCGCGGTGCACTGAAGAACTGTTCCAGCTGCTTCATACCCTGCTCTGAGCCGTCTTTGCTGGCATTGGCCTCTTCGGAGATGAGAGAAGCAGTTACCAGTTCCGTCCCTGTTATACCCAGCTATTGCGCCGGCGTGGCCTGCTGCTTCCAAGCCTCGCATTCGGCAATTGCCTCAGTTCTCTTGCTCAGTGCAGAATCCTCGCGATTGCCGTAACCTCGTGGCGTGACGTTCAAGCCTACTTGGCACCGGGCACTTTGAAGCCGCTGTTGCTCAGTCTCAAGCTGCACCTCCACCAAACAAATAGTTCGTGAGTGTGCAAAGGCTCCAGCTCGGCACGACTTCAACAGTTGTAAATCGACCATCGAGCACCGAATTTGTCTCAATCACCAAGCTTCACAAAAGCCTCCCACACCTGCACCTTCTCGCTACCCGTATCTTGATATCATGACTTACGAACATGCCGGCATGCTTTGCAGGCCCTGACTTTCTCGGCACGCCTGTACTTGCGACCGCTTCGCTTCGACCTCTTGCGCATTCCTGCGACACTGCACTGCAAGGATCTTTCTCGGCTTCGGCCATGGAGAAACCAGGGGGCCTCTGTGCTTCGGCCACCGTGTCTTTCGCAGCCTGCAGCTGCTCCGTTGTGGAAGCCTGAGCCGGCTTGCCGTAATGCTCACAACCGGTGGGAGGGACTAGGTGACTGGGTTGAAAAATGCTGCAAAAGGAGACAGCCGGAGAACCAAAAGAGGAAGAACAAGGTGCTGACTGTGAAGCAGATGACATGGATTTGGGGGCCAGCTCTGGAGTTGTTAGAGACCCTCTGGCATCGTGCAAAAAAGAAACCTGTGGTAAGAGGAGTTCGCGTGACCTTGAGACTACCCCTCGTCCTGTGCGAAGTCACTCCCGAGTCTTCTGAGCACCCTGGCCAGCTCCTGCTTGATGGTCGCTTGTGCATCCGCGCTGCTTTCGTTGGACGCCTGACACATGGCACGTGCGTGGCACGGAAGCGAAGGTACAGGAGACATTGCCTGTTGCTGCTGCTTCAGGGCTTCGCACTCTGCTATAGCCTCGCGCTCCAGAGTTTGCAAAGGGCACCCGCTACTCGTCGCGGGCCGTAGAACTCTCAGAAACGCACACTTTGGAGTTTCTGCTGCTCCTCTTGAAGCTTGACCTGCCATTAGCAATGCACCGCGCAGTACCAGTAACATCTTCGCAACACGAACCCATCCTCTGCTTGCGAGTGCTTGAGCTCCGCGTCCTGCGCGCTCCTCGCGAGCGGAGAGATGGAACAAGAGTTGAACAAGGTGCTGCCGTCAGATCGCATGTCAACGAACACAATCTTAGACTCCTCTGAGCTTGGTCAAACTTGTCCTTGAGGATATCAAAATCCTTCTGCACCTACGCGAGAAAGCGAACTTGCAAAGCCCCGTGATGAATGTCTGCCACTCTTTGTCATCTCACTGAGAGAAGCACGCCCTCCAGCTTCTGCTGCTCTTGCTCAAGTTTGGCCTGGGGATTGCGAGGTTACAGGCAGGATTCTCGGACCTTATGACGGTCGTGACTGCCACTTTGGACCGCAGCCTGTCGTCATTCATTTTTACAGAAGGACCTACATGGAGGGAACCTCGTGTAGTGCATTCGCAGTGCTTAGGGATCTAAGCAGGCCTCATGGTTTAAGCCGCAGGGTTTTCGTCTTGACATGTGGCGTATGCATGCCACTGGAAGAAAACGCCTTCATGTCTGCTTGCTTAGCTTGCTTAGCTTGCCGAGCTCAGCTTGCTTAGCTCGCTTAATTTGCTTAGCTTGCTCAGCTACCTGCTTTGGTTGCAGGTTGAAGCAAACCCCGAAGCAGTTAAAAGAAATCAAACGCCCTGATTGGGAATACGAAAACAACACCACCACCGACAATCATCGTCAACCTCAGAATGTCCGCAGGGTGAAGATCTTAGCGCGGTGCACTTAAGAACTGTTCCAACTGCTTCATGCCCTCCTCTGAGCCGTCTTTGCTGGCCATGGCCTCTTCGGAGATGTGAGAAGCAGTTGCCAGTTCCGTCCCTGTTGTCCCAGCTAATACTCCGGCGTGGCCTGCTGCTTCCAAGCCTCGCATTCAGCAATTGCCTCAGTTCTCTTGCTCAGTGCAGAATCCTCGTGATTGCGATAACCTCGTGGCCTGACGTTCAAGCCTACTTGGCACCGGGCACTTTGAAGCCGCTGTTGCTCAGTCTCAAGCTGCACCTCCACCAAACAAATAGTTCGTAAGTGTGCAAAGGCTCCAGCTCGGCACGACTTCAACAGTTGTAAATCGACCATCGAGCACCTACTTTGTCTCAATCACCAAGCTTCACAAAAGCCTCCCACACCTGCACCTTCTCGCTACCCGTATCTTGATATCATGACTTACGAACATGCCGGCATGCTTTGCAGGCCCTGACTTTCTCGGCACGCCTGTACTTGCGACCGCTTCGCTTCGACCTCTTGCGCATTCCTGCGACACTGCACTGCAAGGATCTTTCTCGGCTTCGGCCATGGAGAAACCAGGGGGCCTCTGTGCTTCGGCCACCGTGTCTTTCGCAGCCTGCAGCTGCTCCGTTGTGGAAGCCTGAGCCGGCTTGCCGTAATGCTCACAACCGGTGGGAGGGACTAGGTGACTGGGTTGAAAAATGCTGCAAAAGGAGACAGCCGGAGAACCAAAAGAGGAAGAACAAGGTGCTGACTGTGAAGCAGATGACATGGATTTGGGGGCCAGCTCTGGAGTTGTTAGAGACCCTCTGGCATCGTGCAAAAAAGAAACCTGTGGTAAGAGGAGTTCGCGTGACCTTGAGACTACCCCTCGTCCTGTGCGAAGTCACTCCCGAGTCTTCTGAGCACCCTGGCCAGCTCCTGCTTGATGGTCGCTTGTGCATCCGCGCTGCTTTCGTTGGACGCCTGACACATGGCACGTGCGTGGCACGGAAGCGAAGGTACAGGAGACATTGCCTGTTGCTGCTGCTTCAGGGCTTCGCACTCTGCTATAGCCTCGCGCTCCAGAGTTTGCAAAGGGCACCCGCTACTCGTCGCGGGCCGTAGAACTCTCAGAAACGCACACTTTGGAGTTTCTGCTGCTCCTCTTGAAGCTTGGCCTGCCATTAGCAATGCACCGCGCAGTACCAGTAACATCTTCGCAACACGAACCCATCCTCTGCTTGCGAGTGCTTTAACTCCACGTCCTGCGCGCTCCTCGCGAGCAGAGAGATGGAACAAGAGTTGAACAAGGTGCTGCCGTCAGATCGCATGTCAACGAACACAATCTCACACTCCTCTGAGCTTGGTCAAACTTGTCCTTGAGGATATCAAAATCCTTCTGCACCTGTGGGAGCAACCGAACTTGCAAAGCGCCGTGCTGAATGTCTGCCAGGCTTTTTCATCTCACTGAGAGAGGCACACCCTCCAGCTTCTGCTGCTCTTGCTCAAGTCTGGCCTGGGGATTGCGCGATTAACGGCAGGATTCTCGGACCTTATGACGGTCGTGACTGGACCTCCGCTTTGGACCGGAGCATTTCCTCATTCTCTGCATTCCTTCAAGGAAACAGCCCAAGCCCAAGCCTTCCCCGTCCGGACTCTGTGCTTCGGCCTCTTCGCTTCTTCGAAGCGCTCCTTGAGCGCTTCGAACTGCGCCCTCACCTGCATAGGGCATAAAAAACCAGACTCGACATCCCTCGACGAGACGAAAGCAGAGCATCGCGCCTTCGCAGCATCTTCGCGGGCCGCTCGCAGCTCCGTGGCTGTGGAGGCCTCAGACAAGGGCCCGATGCTCATGAAATCGCAAGGGCTTCGTGGTGCGTCGCTCTGTGCTTCCCGCCAGCTCTTCCTTCATGGCTTGATGAGCGTCGTCCTTCACGTCGTTGGATGCCTCGGCATGGTCGGCATGATCAGGTTGTTGAAATCGCCGACTGCCCTGCCACACATCATGTTCGCAATCGAGCCAGGCGAGCCCGAGTGGAAATCCCAGATTCCAACCTCAATGGCCGCAGAGGCCATGCTCACGGCGAGAGGAAAGCAGGCATGTGTAAGGTCCCTGCGTCCGCTTCATGGAGTTCCAGGTTTGTCCAGAGCCCTCGTTCAACGTACTGCCTGAGCGACGCGATGATTATTCGCATGAGTATGGCACACCACCAGGAAAACGCTTCGTTTCGCAACCGCGCTGCCCATGGTTGCAAGATCCTGGAGATACTCGTCATCTATGAGCCTGAACACAGTGCAGCTGCCACAAGTCTGAAGTCGTGCCACACACTGAGAACAGTGAAGTGAAGTCGTCGAGTCGTCCATTGACAGGGAGGCTCTCGCCTGTCCGCGGCGCGGAGCTTCAGGAAGTGGCCCTCAGACGGCTGCGCAACGGCTATTCCACCGCCAGGGAATGTCTGCGGCGGCTCTCCGAAGCCCCGGCGGGCAGAAGCACTTCTGCCGGATGCTCCCACATCGTCTGCAAAAATCAAAAATATGATTTGTGACCGGCGAAATCAACGCAAACCTCTGGCCTGGCCGGTTTGGGAGTTGCAGAAGTAACTTGGATTACAGAGGAACTCAGTGGTGCTCGCTACGGCTGTGCTGAGGTCTCCACTCCTTGCCTGTGGTACTGTCTTTCACGCTGTACCACAAAGCAAACTCTTCCTTCGCTTGTGCCTGCCCGCGGTGTGCAGCACATTGCTGACATGCGCTGACTTGCGACAAGACCACAACAACAGCTGCGAAACTGATACGAACTCACGCTCGGAGCACTCGGAGCAGCACATGCCAAGTGCCTCCCAAGCTTCCCGTAGGTCGACAATTGATCGTTCCCGCATGGGTCGCGACAGAGTGACACAAACCTTAGCATGTCTGCTGCGACGGCTGCGAGTCCAGCAAACGAAGGAGCCCTGGCCACGTTCTGTCTTTCGTTGCAAGGGTGTGAACTGTTGTTGGGATCGTGATTCGTGCGGTAGGAAACTCGCAAAGCGGCATTCGGAACCGGGCTTCGCTGGAAAAGCGCACTTTTCAGTCCAGCGAAACTCCAGTATCGCGTCGGAAAGTCTGACTGAAAGGTATGATGACATCCATGGCCGAACCGGGAGCATCCAAGGACTAGTGCGACCATGGAAGAGGCCATCCATGCTCCAACCGTTGCCACGTGCACAGCGTAGTGCGGCTGTGGGAATCAGGATCCATGCCCGAATCGTGGTAACGTCCATGGTCCAGAGAAAGTACTATGTGCACGAATACTTGTGCGTGTGAACTTGAGCATGTCTCTTCCGTACCCCGACGGACGCGCGTGCCGGACCAGGTCGTTGGTGTGAGTGTTGCACGCGAGCGCAGGTCGGTGCGTTATCCGCCGACCCCTGCGGGCGGCGCCCGTGATATCCCGAGAGGTGTCCGCACCCACACCGCTTTATTTAAAGCCTGCCGATGTGTGCCCGGACCCCCCCGCGCCCCCACCGCCCACACCGCCCCCACCGCCCACACCGCCCTCACCGCCCTCACCACCCCCACCACCTTCATCCCCCTCCACCGCTTTCACCGTTCCCACCGTCTCCACCGCTCTCACCGCCCGCTGTATTTGTAGGTGTTTAAAGAGTAAAGAGTATTTAAAGGCTGCCGATGTGTGCCCGGACCCCCCCGCACCCCCACCGCCCACACCGCCCACACCACCACACCGCCCCCACCGCCCACACCGCCCTCACCGCCCTCACCACCCCCACCACCTTCATCCCCCTCCACCGCTTTCACCGTTCCCACCGTCTCCACCGCTCTCACCGCCCGCGTAGGTGTTTAAAGAGTAAAGAGTATTTAAAGGCTGCCGATGTGTGCCCGGACCCCCCCGCGCCCCCACCGCCCCCACCGCCCACACCGCCCACACCGCCCTCACCGCCCTCACCACCCCCACCACCTTCATCCCCCTCCACCGCTTTCACCGTTCCCACCGTCTCCACCGCTCTCACCGCCCGCTGTATTTGTAGGTGTTTAAAGAGTAAAGAGTATTTAAAGGCTGCCAATGTGTGTGCCCACACCCCCCCCGCGCCCACACCGCCCACACCGCCCCACCGCCCACACCGCCCCCACCGCCCACACCGCCTTCACCGCCCTCACCACCCCCCACCTTCATCCCCCTCCACCGCTTTCACCGTTCCCACCGTCTCCACAGCTCTCACTGCCCGCTGTATTTGTAGGTGTTTAAAGAGTAAAGAGTATTTAAAGGCTGCCAATGTGTGCCCGGACCCCCCCGCGCCCCCACCGCCCACACCGCCCCGACCGCCCACACCGCCCTCACCGCCCTCACCACCCCCACCACCTTCATCCCCCTCCACCGCTCTCACCGCCTGCTGTATTTGTAGGTGTTTAAAGAGTAAAGAGTATTTAAAGCCTGCCAATGTGTGCCCGGACCCCCCCGCGCCCCCACCGTCCGCACCGCCCACCCACACCGCCCACACCGCCCCCACCGCCACACCGCCCTCACCGCCCTCACCACCCCCACCACCCCCTCCACCGCTTTCACCGTTCCCACCGTCTCCACCGCTCTCACCGCCCGCTGTATTTGTAGGTGTTTAAAGAGTAAAAAATATTTAAAGGCTGCCAATGTGTGCCCGGACCCCCCCGCGCCCACACCGCCCACACCGCCCACACCCCCCACCGCCCACACCGCCCTCACCGCCCTCACCACCCCCACCACCTTCATCCCCCTCCACCGCTTTCACCGTTGCCACCGTCTCCACCGCTCTCGTAGGTGTTTAAAGAGTAAAGCGTATTTAAAAGCTGCCGATGTGTGCCCGGACCTCCCCGCGCCCCCACCGCCCACACCGCCCCCACTGCCCACACCGCCCCCACCGCCCTCACCACCCCCACCACCTTCATCCCCCTCCACCGCTTTCACCGTTCCCACCGTCTCCACCGCTCTCACCGCCCGCTGTTTTTGTAGGTGTTTAAAAAGAGTATTTAAAGGCTGCCGATGTGTGCCCGGACCCCCCCGCGCCCCCACCGCCCACACCGCCCCCACCGCCCACACCGCCCTCACCGCCGTCACCACCCCCACCACCTTCATCCCCCTCCACCGCTTTCACCGTTCCCACCGCCTCCACCCCTCTCACCGCCCGCTGTATTTGTAGGTGTTTAA